ACCTAGGCTAGAGTGCAGTGGCATCATGATCTCAGCTCACTGCAACCTCTGCTTCCCGGGTTCAAGCGATTCTCCTACCTCAGCCTCCTGAGTAGCTGGGATCACAGGCACCCACTACTATGTCTGGCTAATTTTTGTATTTTTAGTAGAGACCCGGTATCACCATGTTTTCCAGGCTGGTCTTGAACTCCTGACCTCAGGTGATCTGCCCGCCTCAGCCTCTCAAAGTGCTGGGATTACAGGCTTGAGCCACTATGCCCTGCATCTTTAATTTTTATGAAACAAATACTTCTTTAAATAACTGAGTGAGAAAATGAGCTATTTTGGAGAAATTTGTGGTACATTTTATGAAAAGAACAGTCACCTCTTTCTGGATTGAAAATTTATAGTTCTGATACACTGGATTTTGTTAAAATCAGGTGCACATATATTTGAGCATTCTCTTTTTCAAACACCTTGTAATAACTGCCAAAGACAATGAAATAAACGAATTGGATGTCATTAATATGATTCTTTGCTATCTAAGGAGGATTTGAGTATGGAAAGAACACTTATAATCTGTTATGCATTATTTTCTATTCATATATGTGTACATTTTTATATATGAATATGTGTGTGTATATACGTGTGTGTATAGATATATGTGTATATGCAAATGACTTGGCTAGCCTTTTCCTCCTGAATACTGATTATAACTTAATTTACTAAATTCCCTTCAATAATTTAAATTACCATTACAAATGGAATATAAGTGATTCTTTGGATTATGTGAAATCTGTAAGTAGTTGAAAAACATAAAAAATTCATTATTTATATGTCTGTTTTTAATGTCTTCCTAGAATTATAGCAGTACTCTTTTTGATACCTTTCCATGGTCATGGCAATGCTACCATACTTCAAGTAAAAATATTTCATCTGAGACTGGCTAGGTTACAGAATCTGGCTTATTAACCAGTCAATTTTATGTTCACACCCAGGACCTGGTGACATCTATAAGGTGATTCAAACTGAAGCCATTGGTTATTGGTCATTTGATGGACTCCTTTTATAAATGAACTTCATGTTGCTTTTAAATTTTTTAAATAATTGTATATGACTTTAAATAGAGTTTGCTTTCTTGCAGTCTGGTGCTTTGCCCCAGAATGATGTAAACTTTAAGTTTTGCCTGCTTTAAATATTACATCATTCCTTTTCTTGGCATCATATACGTTGACCCAACTTGGAGCATTATTGGAAACTTATGTTTTTTCTAATATCTTTTAATGTACAGTATCATCTAGGGGACTCATATTCTAAGAGATGAAGGTTAAAGTTTGACAGCATACCTCTGAGATCATTTGGCAAATTAATCATCTGGGTACACATTGTTGAACCTCTTTCTCAATCAAGAAATAACTATGGCTGATTGCCTCATGGGTCCCTTCTACCTGGTTATTATCGGAGACCAATAGTGTTGATTAGGTCTTCCTGTTCTTGGCACAATTCCTACCCTCCTCCTCTTGGATAGAAAAACAGTACATATCTATACTTTATATGCATGTATTTAACCAAAGAAATAAAGTACCACTATGTAAATTCTCCTGTTTTCTCAGATATTTTAAAAATGAGTCATACTTGTTATATTTACCTTTCTTCATATATCACTTTTTCATATATTTTAAATTTAATTCTTCTCTTTTGTATATTATTGACAGAAGCCTGTTACCTTGGGAGGTTTGCCTGTATACCCTTAACCATAGTTTTCCACTTAAGTTGGCGTAGCAAACCCTTTCTGTATGTTATCAAGCTAAGTAAATGTAAATTCCGATCAGAATTCTAGCCTGGGAATGTGCTTTGCTCTTCTGAGTTACATTTTTATATGTGGCTTAGAACAGTGTTGCGGGTGGAAAGTAAGTAATTTAGGCCATTACTGTCTTTGCAGTTCTCTTATTTTGTTTAATGTTCCATATATTTTGTTCCATACATTACACAAAATAGCAGCAGTAGGAGATACAGGTGGCTATCAAGATAAAGTACTGAACAGAGTCAAACCACTCAGCAGCCCATGGACCCCTCAGAGGTGAAGAATGGGAAACCTCATAATGTTTCTTGTCTACTTACAAATTATTGTCATTTAGTCAAATGATAAACTATTTTTGTTACAAGAAAAATTTTAATTTGCAGAGAAAAGGCATTTTGACATAGAGGAGGAAGCATCAGTGGAGTATGCCACTTACCGTCTTACCCCTCCATCAGCAATGTGATAGCTTAATTAATGACCTGTTTCTGCTTCAGAGTCCCTCTCATCTGTTTGTGGCTTGAGATTACTGCACCGTCGGCAGAAGCGGATCATTGGTGGGAAAAATTCTTTAAGGTAAAAGTTTCTTCAAAAGAGAATTTTTATATTATAGAATTATCTTTATACATAGAGTGTTACAAATTGGGGATGCTCTATTATCACATAAGGGACTTGTACTCATTTTATTTTCTAAACTAAATTCGAATTTCACTGATAATTTCAATATCCTTTGACCTATGTTTTCAGACCATGTTCTTACATCACCAGCCTGATTTAAGAGATTAGATGTGTTACTGCAAAGTTATATGTCAGAAACAAAACAGTTTAACAGGAGACCTGGAAATGTGTATGACTACAAAGATTCGTTTAAGTTAGAATGTATTTGTTTCAGACTTAACTCAGTTTAATCTAAATTTTTTGTTTGTAGAATTTACTAATGGAAAACCCATGCTTTATTAAATACATCTTCAGACTGCATAGGTGAGGCACAGCAAAGAGAGAAATTACATTTTAAATAATGAAATATAAAGAAGACAGCTTGTTTTTAAGAGTGTCAGATAGGTGGAATCCATACAAATGCCTATAGGCACATCTTCAAGAGTTGCTGATTCCGGGCCTGCTCAGAGTTGTGGGGTCTCCTTCTCAAAGTAGGAAGGGAGTTGCTTTTGCTTTCCTTTTCCCCCACTTGCAAGACATTAAAGTTACTAAAGCCATTGCTTTAACCAGTGCTTTCCTTTGCTTTTTTGTCTTTTACTGATGTTGATGTGTAGCTCATTTTCTTCTTAGGGGTGGTTGGCCTTGGCAGGTTTCCCTCCGGCTGAAGTCACCCCATAGAGATGGCAGGCTCCTCTGCGGGGCTACGCTCCTGAGTAGCTGCTGGGTCCTTACAGCAGCGCACTGTTTCAAGAGGTATGTGTCCACCTTCCCAGACAACCCAGTGTAGCTTCTACTCATCAGTTATTCCAATCCCCTCATGCTCTACAGCCCTCAAGGTGCCACAGCCAGGCTGAACTTTCTTTGCTTGTGCCAGCAGCCCTGTGGAATGAGGGAGTGGCACAAGGAGCACAGAGAGCCCTTAGAAAGCCACTTGCTACCCTAGTGTTAAAGCAAACTCCAGATTTAGGAAGAACAGAAGAAGAGGGGTGTTTGGAGAGGAGGAAGGCAGCAGTGTCAGTGCTCCCCCCAAGACATATCTGAGGCTGAAATCATATCTTTGTAGAGGTAGAAGAGACTTCGGATTATTTAGCTATAAATGATAAGGAGTAGGGAATGCAGTTGTAGTGTTTTTGATCCTTTGAGTCTTGGTGTTTTGTACCTTTGAGAAAGTTAGATTACCATCAGTTTCATTGTTGGTTTCCTATAGTTTAGTCCTAATGATCTCTTCTTGTCCCAAACATTTTATCAGTCCGTTTTTATCAAGCCTTCTCAGTTCAGAGGAGAGGTCAGGAAGGGAAAATCAGTCCACCAGGGTCACAGAGCTCCTGGCGGGAGATCCTGCAGTAGAACCAGCTCTCCTTTGTCGAGTGCTTCTTTGTGGGCCTTGGTCATTGGCCCTTTCCTAGCATTAATTTTGGTATGTAAATATGTATACAAATGCTTGTGAAAATACTGATAAGTATTAATGCAATGTGTTGAGTACAGACTTTCATTATACTACTTTAATTTTGTGTGTTTGAAAATTGCCACAATGAAGTTTTAAAAAATGTCGAAACATTTTTACAAGCAGAAATTTGTTTTCTGTTTTTTCTTATGTAATATCATATGGTACGTACCTTTGCCTCATTATGTACTTGTAATCCATCATGCAGATTTGTTCCTTCACTTTAACTGCTATGAATTTTACCTGCTGTTGAAAGACTGAACCAGTTTTTTATTCTCCTATTGCTGTGTAGTTAGCTGCTTTCCATTCTTTCATTGGGAGAAAACAATGTTGCGGTAAACAACCTGTTACAAGTCTCACTGGGTGTGTGCACATGGGCATGTTTTTCTGAGTCCTAGGATATGGATTCCCTTTAATTTTTGAAGCATACCAATTTATCCTTTGAAGAAATTGTATCAGTTTATAACCCAGCAATGTTATATTCCTATTTCCTCATGACTCCATCTAACCTTGACACTATCAAAATTTAAAATTTTTTGCCAATCACAGAGTTTGGGGTTTCTTTTTAATTGTATTTCCCTGACTAATATCTTTCTCTTTTGTGAATTATTTGCTCATATACTTTGCCTGTCTATTTGTCGTTGATTTTTAAATTTTTGGATATGTTCTATATGCTAAATTTTTGTTGTTAGGTGTTACAAGTACTTTTTCCTAGTTTGGACCATGTCCTTTTACTTGCTTATGGTCTTTTTCTTTCTTTTTTTCCCGCATTTATTTATTTTATTACATTTTAGGTTTTGGGGTACATGTGAAGAACATGCAAGATTGTTGCATAGGTACACACGTGGCAGTGTGATTTGCTGCCTTCCTCCCCTTCACCTACATCTGGCATCTCTCCCCTTGCTATCTCTCCCCAACTCCCCACCCCCCACCGTCCCTCCCCTATTTCCCCCCAACTGACCCCAGTGTGTAGTGCTCCCCTCCCTGTGTCCATGTGTTCTCATTGTTCAACACCCACCTATGAGTGAGAACATGTGGTGTTTGATCTTCTGCTCTTCTGTCAGTTTGCTGAGAATGATGGTTTCCAGGTTCATCCATGTCCCTACAAAGGACCCAAACTCATCGTTTTTGATGGCTGCATAATATTCCATGGTGTATATGTGCCACATTTTCCCTGTCCAGTCTATCATCGATGGGCATTTGGGTTCGTTCCAGGCCTTTGCTATTGTAAACAGTGCTGCAATGAACATTCGTGTGCACGTGTCCTTAAAACGAGTTATAATCCTTTGGATATATACCTAATAATGGGATTGCTGGGTCAAATGGAATTTCTATTTCTAGGTCCTTGAGGAATCGCCACACTGTCTTCCACAATGGTTGAACTAATTTACACACCCACCAACAGTATAAAAGTGTTCTTATTTCTCCGCATCCTCTCCAGCATCTCTTGTCTCCAGATTTTTTAATGATCGCCATTCTAACTGGCGTGAGATGGTATCTCAATGTAGTTTTGATTTGCATTTCTCTGATGACCAGTGATGATGAGCATTTTTTCATATGTTTGTTGGCCTCATGTATGTCTTCTTTTGTGAAGTATCTGTTCATATCCTTTGCCCACTTTTGAATGGGCTTGTTTGTTTTTTTCTTGTAAATCTGTTTTAGTTCTTTGTAAATTCTGGATATCAGCTCTTTGTCAGATGGGTAGACTGCAAAAATTTTTCCCATTCTGTTGGTTGCCAATTCACTCTAATGACCGTTTCTTTTGCTGTGCAGAAGCTGTGGAGTTTGATTAGGTCCCATTCGTCTATTTTGGCTTTTGCTGTCAGTGCTTTTGGTGTTTTGGTCATGAAGTCCTTGCCTACACCTATGTCCTGAATGGTTTTGCCTAGATTTTCTTCTAGGGTTTTTATGGTGTTAGGTCTTATGTTTAAGTCTTTAATCCATCTGGAGTTAATTTTAGTGTAAGGTGTCAGGAAGGGGTCCAGTTTCTGCTTTCTGCACGTGGCTAGCCAGTTTTCCCAACACCGTTTATTAAACAGGGAATCCTTTCCCCATTGCTTGTTTTAGTCTGGTTTGTCAAAGATCAGATGGTTGTAGATACGTTGTGTTGCCTCCGAGACCTCTGTTCTGTTCCATTGGTCTATATCTCTGTTTTGGTACCAGTAGCATGCTGTTTTGATTACTGTAGCCTTGTAGTATAGTTTGAAGTCCGGTAGTGTGATGCCTCCCGCTTTGTTCTTTTTGCTTAGAATTGACTTGGCTATGCAGGCTCTCTTTTGGTTCCATATGAAGTTTAAGATGGTTTTTTCCAGTTCTGTGAAGAAGGTCATTGGTAGCTTGATGGGGATAGCGTTGAATCTGTAAATTACTTTGGGCAGTATGGCCATTTTCACGATATTGATTCTTCCTAACCATGAACATGGAATGTTTCTCCATCTGTTTGTGTCCTCTCTTATTTCGTTGAGCAGTGACTTGTAGTTCTCCTTGAAGAGGTCCTTTACGTTCCTTGTTAGTTGTATTCCTAGGTATTTTATTCTCTTTGTAGCAATTATGAATGGCAGTTCGTTCTTGATTTGGCTCTAAGTCTGTTATTGATGTATAGGAATGCATGTGATTTTTGCACATTGATTTTGTATCCTGAGACTTTGCTGAAGTTGCTTATAAGTTTCAGGAGATTTTGGGCTGAGACGATGGGGTCTTCTAGATATACAATCATGTCATCTGCAAATAGAGAAAATTTGACTTCCTCCTTTCCTATTTGAATGCCCTTTATTTCTTTTTCTTGCCTTATTGCTCTGGGTAGAACTTCTAGTACTATATTGGATAGGAGTGGTGAGAGGGCATCCTTGTCTGGTGCCACATTTCAAGGGAAATGCTTCCACTTTTTGCCCATTCAGTATGATATTGGCTGTTGGTTTGTCGTAAATAGCTTTTATTATTTTGAGATACGTTCCGTCAATACTTAGCTTATTGAGGGTTTTTAGCATAAAGGGCTGTTGAATTTTGTCAAAGGCCTTCTTTGCATCAATTGAGATAATCATGTGGTTTTTGTTTTGGTTCTGTTTATGTGGTGAATTACGTTTATAGACTTGCGTATGTTGAACCAGCCTTGCATCCCCGGGATGAAGCCTACTTGATCATGGTGGATAAGCTTTTTGATGTGCTGTTGCAATCGGCTTGTCAGTATTTTATTGAAGATTTTTGCATCTATGTTCATTATGGATATTGGCCTGAAGTTTTCTTTTCTTGTTGAGTCTCTGCCGGGTTTTGGAATCAGGATGATGATGTTCTCATAAAATGATTTGGGAAGAATTCCTTCTTTTTGGATTATTTGGAATACTTTCAGAAGGAATGGTACCAGCTCTTCTTTGTATGTCTGGTAGAATTTGGCTGTGAACCCGTCTGGACCTGGGCTTTTTTTGGGTGGTAAGCTCTTAATTGCTGCCTCAACGTCAGACTTTCTTATGGGTCTGTTCAGGGTTTCGGCTTCTTCCTGGTTTGGGCTTGGGAGGAGGGAAGTTTCCAGGAATTTATCCATTTCTTCCAGGTTTACTAGTTTATGTGCATAGAGTTGTTTGTAATAATCTCTGATGATGGTTTGAATTTCTGTGAAATTTGTGGTGATATCCCCTTTATCGTTTTTTATTGCATCAATTTGGTTATTCTCTCTTTTCTTTTTTATTAATCTGGCTAGTGGTCTGTCTATTTTGTTAATCTTTTCAAAAAACCAGCTCCTGGATTTATTGAAGGGGTTTTGTGTCTCTATCTCCTTCAGTTCTGCTCTGATCTTAGCTATTTCTTGTCTTCTGCTAGACTTTGAGTTTTTTTGATCTGCTCCTCTAGCTCTTTCAGTTTTGACGATAGGGTGTCAATTTTTGATCTCTCCTTGCTTCTCATGTGGGCACTTATTGGTATATATTTTCCTCTAGAGACTGCTTTAAATGTGTCCCAGAGATTCTGGTATGTTGTGTCTTCATTCTCGTTGGTTTCGAAGAACATCTTCATTTCTGTCTTCATTTCATTGTTTATCCAGTCAACATTCAAGAGCAAGTTGTTCAGTTTCCATGAAGCTGTGCGGTTCTGGGTTAGTTTTTGAATTCTGAGTTCTAACTTGATTGCACTGTGGTCTGAGAGACTGTTTGTTACGATTTCCGTTCTTTTGCATTTGCTGAGGAGTGATTTACTCCCAATTATGTGGTCAATTTTAGAGTAGGTGTGATGTGGTGCTGAGAAGAATGTATATTCTGTGGATTTGGGGTGGAGAGTTCTGTAAATGTCTATTAAGTTTGCTTGGTCCAGGTCTGAGTTC